GGTGCTGGTCCATCAAGTCTGTATGGTACTGGTTTATCAAGTCTGTATGGTGCTGGTCCATCAAGTCTGTATTGTGCTGGTCCATCAAGTCTGTATGGTACTGGTTTATCAAGTCTGTATGGTGCTGGTCCATCAAGTCTGTATTGTGCTGGTCCATCAAGTCTGTCTGGTGCTGGTCCATCAAGTCTGTATGGTACTGGTCCATCAAGTCTGTATGGTGCTGGTCCATCAAGTCTGTATGGTACTGGTCCATCAAGTCTGTATGGTACTGGTCCATCAAGTCTTAGTGGTGCTGGTCCATCATGTCTGTGCCTGTTATCCAGAGTAAATTGCTATTTGTTCCAAAGCCAGGCTGAGTAGACACTACTCCACCCAACTTCATAACATAGTTATATAATATTAATAATGTGAATGTTTCCCTTACTTCATAACATAGTTATATAATATTAATAATGTGAATGTTTCCCTTACTTCATAACATAGTTATATAATATTAATAATGTAAATGTTTCCCCTACTTCATAACATAGTTATATAATATAATAATGTGAATGTTTCCCCTACTTTCAGTACTAGATTCATTCTCTGATCCTTTGATTGGGTGGACAACGTCAGTTCATGCTGCAAGAGCTCTGATAGGTTGGACGACGTCCTCCGGAAGTTGTCATAATTACTGTGTAAGTCTATGGAAGGGGGTGAGAACCATGAGCCTCCAAGGTTTTGTATTGAAGTCAATGTACCCAGAGGAGGACGGTAGCTAGCTGTCCTCCGGCTACACCATGGTGCTACCCTACAGAGTGCTGTTGAGGCTACTGTAGACCTTCACTGCAAAACAGTGTATTTTAATCAATTATTTGGTGACGTGAATATATTTAGTATAGTTTTATCTGAAAAGGATAACTTTTTTAAATGTTTCACTATTTTTCTTTTTCTGAAATTCACTGAGGAGGATGGTCCTCCCCTTTCTCCTCTGAGGAGCCTCCACTGGTTGTCCAGGAGGAGTCAGGACAGAACAGCCATAATAACAAAATCATGAACACACATTTCCAGAATGGAAAAATATTTACTTAATTTAGTATTTAGTACAGTTCATTGTTTAACTTACTGTTTGGTACATGTTAATTATTCATTTATGTCCATGCTGTTGGAAGCAAAGCACACCATTGCATTTTTTTTTTTAAATAGCAGTATCCTCCCAATATCAACTGAACTGGCCATGGCATGGGAACAGGTGGTGGCAGTCTAGTTCCAAAAGGAATTACATAAGTGTATTCTCTGTTGTTTACCGCCTCACCCCAGCCAACCATTTCCTCTGATACTATCTCAACTGTCATCAGATGGCGTGGGTCTGTGTCTCGGTCAAGCTGTTGCATGTCATTGTCATGTCTCAGTGGGTACAATGGGCTTCAACAAACACATAGCGGCTATGACAGAGTCAACATTGCTGGGCATTGCTAATGCATTGGGAGTCTGTATGACAGATCCTCTTTAGCTAACTGTTTACCCTAAGCAGATCCTACGGAAAAGGCTTAGTACTTTGAAACCATCCTTGTATTAAAAAACCCAAAGTCCATCAAAACATTGCTTGTTGCAGTTTGTCTGTTTTAGACAGAGCAGCAACACTCTCCTACTTTCTAAAAGGCATTTCTAGTGACTAACTAACTAAACTGTCCCTGACTGCTCTTATCCTGAGCCTTCTGCCCTGGATCAGTAATCAGGTGGTTATTTAATGAGGCATTCCCTTCAACGCGACACACTTCCTTCCACCAAGAGTGCTGCTGCTATCTAACATACCGGTAAAGAAAGTGCTCTGGCTCCTGCTATCTGACATAAGACATTGTCCATGCCTCTATATCCCCAGCCAAGCCTATTTAGAAAGGAACAGCCCAATCTGATCTGGGTCCTACACAACAGGGTCGTGTTCAATCGGCACCAAACGGAAGAAAACTGACTGAAACAGGGAGGGACTAGCTGGGACTAACAGTTTACATCGCAAAGCGTTTAAAAAAAAGTTTTGTTACGGTGTGCCCTAACGAACATGACCCAGGTTAAACGTCCCCCTCCCCACCTCTTATACAGTGCATTCAGAAAGTATTCAGACCCTGTGACTTTTTCCACATTTTGTTACGTTACAGCCTTATTCTAAAATGGATTAAATTGTTTTTTTTACTCATCAGTCTACACACAATCCTCTATAATTACAAACCAAAAACAGGTTTTTAAATAAAAAAATAAAAATAAAATCACGTTTACATAAGTATTCAGACCCTTTACTCAGTACTTTGTTGAAGCACCTTTGGCAGCGATTACAGCCTAGAGTCTTCTTGGGTATGATGCTACAAGCTTGGCACACCTGTATTTGGGGAGTTTCTCCCATTCTTCTCTGTAGATCCTCTCAAGCTCTGTCAGGTTGGATGGGGAGCGTCGCTGCAAAGCTATTTTCAGGTCTCTCCAGAGATGTCAAATCAAATCAAATCACATTTTATTGGTCACATACACGTGTTTAGCAGATGTTATAGCGGGTGTAGCGAAATGCTTGTGCTTCTAGCTCCGACAGTGCAGTAATATCTAACAAGTCATATATAACAATTTGACAACATATACCCAATACACACAAATCTAAGTAAAGCAACGGAATTAAGAATATATAAATAAATATATGGACAAGCAATGACAGAGCGGCATGGACTAAGATACAGTAGAATAGTATAGAATACAGTATATACAGTTGAAGTCGGAAGTTTATCTACACTATCTACACCTTATGGACAGAGTTAATTTTACAATAATTATATTATATATATATATATATTATTATTTATTTTTTTCGCTCCTGAACTTCTTCTACTCTCAACCTCTCCGATCATTTTCATGATGTCCATCCGGTTTGCTTCTATATGCCATATCTTTCTAACTGTGCTCTTTCCCAAAAGCTCCCAACCTACAACCTATATACTTATAATTTATTATGGACACAGTATGCTTACATTATTAGTTATCTTTGTTATTATATGTTGTTATTTGTTATTAGTCCCATCCTTCAACTCCATTCAACCCCTCCCATTTATCTCTTAACACCATCCATATTGGATTTCTATTTGCCATAGATATTTCAACTGTACTGTGATGTTTTACAAAAGTTCTGAACCCTTCTATTCTCATTGCTTCTACAGATTGTGGTAGCATTGGCTTTGAATTGTTTAACTTGGGTCAAACGTTTCGGGTAGCCTTCCACAAGCATCCCACAATAAGTTGGGTGAATTTTGGCCCATTCCTCCTGACAGAGCTGGTGTAACTGAGTCAGGTTTGTAGGCCTCCTTGCTCGCACACGCTTTTTCAGTTCTGCCCACACATTTTCTATAGGATTGAGGTCAGGACTTTTTGATGACCACTCCAATACCTTGACTTTGTTGTCCTTAAGCCATTTTGCCACAACTTTGGAAGTATGCTTGGGGTCATTGTCCATTTGGAAGACCCATTTGCGACCAAGCTTTAACTTCCTGACTGATGTCTTGAGATGTTGCTTCAATATATCCACATAATTTTCCTTCTTCATGATGCCATCTATTTTGTGAAGTGTACCAGTCCCTCTTGCAGCAAAGCACCCCCACAGCATGATGCTGCCACCCCCGTGCTTCACGGTTGGGATGGTGTTCTTCGGCTTGCAAGCCCCCCCTTTTTCCTCCAAACATAACGATGGTCATTATGGCCAAACAGTTATATTTTTGTTTCATCAGACCAGAGGACATTTCTCCAAAAAGTACGATCTTTGTCCCCATGTGCAGTTGCAAACCGTAGTCTGGCTTTTTTAATGGCGGTTTTGGAACAGTGGCTTCTTCCTTGCTGAGCGGCCTTTCAGGTTATGTCGATATAGGACTAGTTTTACTGTGGATATAGATACTTTTGTACCCGTTTCCTCCAGCATCTTCACAAGTTCAAGGATCAAGGATCTCTCTGTACTTTGCTCCGTTCATCTTTCCCTCAATCCTGACTAGTCTCCCAGTCCCTGCCACTGAAAAACATCCCCACAGCATCATGGTGACTTGACGCTTGGCATTCAGGCCAAAGAGTTCAATCTTGGTTTCATCAGACCAGAGAATCTTGTTTCTCATGGTCTGAGATTCCTTTAGGTGCCTTTTGGCAAACTAAAAGTAGGCTGTCATGTGCCTTTTACTGAGGAGTGGCTTCTGTCTGGCCACTCTACCATAAAGGCCTGATTAGTGGAGTGCTGCAGAGATGGTTGTCCTTCTGGAAGGTTCTCCCATCCCCACAGAGGAACTCTGAAGCTCTGGCAGAGTGACCATTGGGTTCTTGGTCACCTCCCTGACCAAAGCCCTTCTCCCCCGATTGCTCAGTTTGGCCCGGCAGCCAGCTCTAGGAAGAGTCTTGGTGGTTCCAAATTTCTTCTATTTAAGAATGATGGAGGCCACTGTGTTCTTGGGGACCTTCAATGCTGCAGAAATGTTTTGGTACCCTTCCCCAGATCTGTGCCTCGAAACAATCCTGTCTCTGAGCTCTACGGGCAATTCCTTCGACCTCATGGCTTGGTTTTTGCTCTGACATGCACTGTCAACTGTGGGACCTTATATAGACAGCTGTGTGTCTTTCTAAATCATGTCCAATCAATTGAATTTACCACAAATGGACTCCAATCAAGTTGTAGAAACATCTCAAGGATTATCAATGGACACAGGATGCACCTGAGCTCAATTTCAAGTCTCATAGCAAAGGGTCTGAATACAATTGCTAAAATTTCTAAAAAACAGTTTTTGCTTTGTCATTATGGGGTATTGTGTGTAGATTGATGAGAAAAAAATACATAATTCAATCAATTTTAGAATAAGGCTGTAACATAGCAAAATGTGGAAAAAGTCAACTTCTTTATAAATAAATATATGGACGAGCGATGTCTAAAGGAAAAAGTCTAAAGTCCTCTATAAAGTGCAGATGGGAAGTAGACGGAAAGTGTCATATCATGATGAAGTCCATGTGGACATGATTTATTGCAGAAGTCGCACGAGAATGGCCAAAGCTGCAAAGGTCCCGAACCGTCCCGCCATAACCGCTGTCCCTCCGTTGGTCTTAGTCTCCCTGTTCATGGGCCTCGCAGGTCTCAGAGGCCTGGTGATTACGGCTGGGTTGGGGTTGTTGAGCAGCTGTGTAGCACGAACCTCCCGGACCACCCTGGTATAGTCCCTCTCCTTGGAGACACACCGGTAATTCCCATAGTGCTCTGTCTGCATGGAGGGGATGAGGTGGAGACAGCTGGCCTGCAGCCGCAGACAGGGGTGTGTCGTGCCCAGGTGTTCCCAGCTGTAGTGTGCGTGGTAAGAGTCGATGGGACAGGACAGGTAGAAGGGGACGTCCAGGGGCAAAGAGTGGACCGATACACCGAGGGCGTTCCTGGACGAGGAGGGGGAGGGGGGGTGGGAAGGCTGTGTGTCGCGTCTGGTCCTGTTGCTGGTAGGCATCTTTGGTTCTGGAGAAAGAGCAGGAAAAATGTATTTAACCAGGTAGGGGAATGAAAATCCAGCCTACTCAGATTGACTGATTTGATTGATTGTATTATTATCAGTGTGTGAGATGTCAATGTACAGTATACCTTCTGCTATTTCAGCTTCTGCTGTTTTAGGGCACACATTAGTTTGTCCTCCATTGATATTTTGAATGCCTCCCCTATGGACAGAGACACAACAACAACAACAACTAAAACAACATTTTAATCACAACATTCAGTTCACAAAGACTATAACTAAGGTTATATCAGTTTAGATATGGTAGACAGCAATGCTAGGTATTTAAATACGAACCAAAAGAGGGAAGCTCTGCTACAGTTACTGTAAAAGGTTCTTTGGGGTCTAGACAGGTTACTGTAAAAGGCTCTTTGGGGTCTAGACAGGTTACTGTAAAAGGCTCTTTGGGGTCTAGACATGTTCCTGTAAAAGGCTCTTTGGGGTCTAGACATGTTACTGTAAAAGGTTCTTTGGGGTCTAGACATGTTACTGTAAAAGGCACTTTGGGGTCTAGGACAGTTACTGTAAAAGGCTCTTTGGGGTCTAGGACAGTTACTGTAAAAGGCTATTTGGGGTCTAGACATGTTACTGTAAAAGGCTCTTTGGGGTCTAGGACAGTTACTGTAAAAGGCTCTTTGGGGTCTAGACATGTTACTGTAAAAGGCTCTTTGGGGTCTAGGACAGTTACTGTAAAAGGCTCTTTGGGGTCTAGGCCAATTACTGTAAAAGCACTTTATGAAAACTGCTGATGTGAAAAGGCCTTCTAAATAAAGTTGATTGAAAGATATAACTTATGGAACAGCCATGCTGACGGAACAGCCGTGCTGACGGAACAGCCGTGCTGACGGAACAGCCGTGCTGACGGAACAGCCGTGCTGACGGAACAGCCATGCCGACGGAACAGCCATGCCGACGGAACAGCCATGCCGACGGAACAGCCACGGAACAGCCATGCTTGGTCATTTGAGTAGGAGAAAAAAGAGGAAACTTACGGGACAGTGGGACGGCAGCCAGCCTCTGTCCAGGCGCAGTACGGGTCTCTGGCCAGAACACACTCAGCACAGGATACGTTATAGTCCTGGCACCTCTGGAGGTCCAGAATGGAGATCTGCTCTGACAAACCCACCACCAGCTTCCTCTGGGCGTGGACAGAAAGACGCTAGTTAATATTAAAACATCCCGTCACATATATTTCACATTTGAACAATATCTATCTTTAATACCCATCAGAGTCTAAGCCCTGTCTTTTTTGGGCTTACTGATATTAGCTCATACAAATGCTTTGCACAGAGGGGTCATATCAGTGTGTAATCCAAACCGTTCGGACGCTACAGACAGAAGTTGGCAGATCGGCGTTACCGACTTCAGACGAGTCTCCTGACACTTGTGGAGGTTGTAGAGCAAAATGGAGAACACCATGGTGTTCGTGAGAGTGTCATCTTTCCAGGGGTCATACTAGTTTGTAGGCTAAAACGTTCGGACGCTACAGACGATATTGTGAGAAGACACATTCTCCTGGTCTGACCAACACCGCTCTAGCTCTGCCACCTTTCACCACAGATGAGGAAGTGCGACATCGGCGGCTGTGGTGGATTGAGACGATGCAAAAAAACAACATATCTCCAGCTTAAACGGACAGATTTTTAAGGGGATTATTTGATTATGCTAATTAGATGGCAGTGTGGGCGCGGACATCGCCCTTAGGGGTTAAAATCATTAGTGGTTTGTAAAAGCAATAAGGCATACAGTATTTTGTGAATAACAACACGGCTAATGGCGGTTCCCTTTCAGTCAGTAAACTTCAGTTCAACATACTATGGGGAATCGGAATCTCGCAACTTCAGTTGAAGGAACTAAAATCACGACTGACAAAGCCAATGAAATCCGCGTCTCACTGGAAGCCCCGGGTTCAAGTCCGGGTTCTGGCTGGGCCACTCAAGGACATTCAGAGACTTGTCCCAAAGCCACTCCTGCATTGTCTTGGCTGTGTGCTTGGGGTCGTTGTCCTGTTGGAAGGTGAACCTTCGCCCCAGTCTGAGGTCCTGAGCGCTCTGGAGCAGGTTTTCATCAAGGATCTCTCTGTACTTTGCTCTGTTCACCTTTCCATCGATCCTGACTAGTCTCCCAGTCCATGCCACTGAAAAACATCCCCACAGCACGATGCTGCCACCACCATGCTTCACCGTATGGATGGTATTGGCCAGGTTATGAGAGGTGCCTGGTTTCCTCCAGATGTGACACTTGGCATTCAGGCCAAAGAGTTCAATCTTGGTTTCATCAGACCAGAGAATCTTGTTTCTCATGGTCTGAGAGTCCTTTAGGTGCCTTTTGACAAACTCCAAGTGGGCTGTCATGTGCCTTTTACTGAGGAGTGGCATCCGTCTGGCCACTCTACCATAAAGGCCTGATTAGTGGAGTGCTGAAGAGATGGTTATCCTTTAAAAAAAATCCATTTTAGAACAAGGCTGTAACCAGTGGTGGAAAAAGTACCCAACTGTCATACTTGAGTAAAAGTAAAGATACATTAATAGAAAATTACTCAAGTAAAAGTGAAAGTCACCCAGTAAAATACTACTTGAGTAAATGTCTAAAAGTATTTGGTTTTAAATATACTTAAGTATCAAAAGTAAATGTAATTGCTAAACTATACTTAAGTATCAAAAGTAAAAGTAAAAGTATAAATCATTTCACATTCCTCATATTAAGCAAACCAGACGGCATGATTTTCTGGTTGTTTTAATGTACGGATAGCCAGGGGGGACACTCCAACACTCAGACATCATATACAGATAGCCAGGGGGGACATTCCAACACTCAGACATCATATACAGATAGCCAGGGGGGACACTCCAACACTCAGACATCATATACAGATAGCCAGGGGGGACACTCCAACACTCAGACATCATATACAGATAGCCAGGGGGGACATTCCAACCCTCAGACATCATATACAGATAGCCAGGGGGGGACACTCCAACACTCAGACCATTCATCTACAGATAGCCATGGGGCCACACTCCAACACTCAGAAACATCATATAGATGATCGCCAGGGGGGACACATCCAACACTCAGAACATCCATATACAGATAGCCAGGTGCACATCTTCCCAACACTCAGACCATCATATACAGATAGCCAGGGGGGACACTCCAACCCTCAGACATCATATACAGATAGCAGGGCACACTCCAACACTCAGACATCATATACGGATAGCCAGGGGCACACTCCAACACTCAGACATCATATACAGATAGCCAGGGGGGACACTCAACACTCAGACATCATATACAGATAGCCAGGGGGGACACTCCAAAACTCAGACATCATATACAGATAGCCAGGGGGGACACTCCAACCCTCAGGACATCATATACAGATAGCCAGGGGGGACACTCCAACACTCAGACATCATATACAGATAGCCAGGGGGGACACTCCAACACTCAGACATCATATACAGATAGCCAGGGGCACACTCCAACACTCAGACATCATATACAGATAGCCAGGGGGGACACTCCAACACTCAGACATCATATACAGATAGCCAGGGGGGACACTCCAACACTCAGACATCATATACAGATAGCCAGGGGGGACACTCCAACACTCAGACATCATATACAGATAGCCAGGGGGGACACTCCAACACTCAGACATCATATACAGATAGCCAGGGGGGACACTCCAACACTCAGACATCATATACAGATAGCCAGGGGGGACACTCCAACACTCAGACATCATATACAGATAGCCAGGGTCACACTCCAACACTCAGACATCATATACAGATAGCCAGGGGCACACTCCAACACTCAGACATCATATACAGATAGCCAGGGGGGACACTCCAACACTCAGACATCATATACAGATAGCCAGGGGGACACTCCAACACTCAGACATCATATACAGATAGCCAGGGGCACACTCCAACCCTCAGACATCATTTACAGATAGCCAGGGGGCACACTCCAACACTCAGACATCATATACAGATAGCCAGGGGGGACACTCCAACACTCAGACATCATATACAGATAGCCAGGGGGGACACTCCAACACTCAGACATCATATACAGATAGCCAGGGGCACACTCCAACACTCAGACATCATATACGGATAGCCAGGGGCACACTCCAACACTCAGACATCATATACAGATAGCCAGGGGGGACACTCCAACACTCAGACATCATATACAGATAGCCAGGGGGACACTCCAACACTCAGACATCATTTACAGATAGCCAGGGGCACACTCCAACACTCAGACATCATATACAGATAGCCAGGGGGCACACTCCAACACTCAGACATCATATACAGATAGCCAGGGGGGACACTCCAACACTCAGACATCATATACAGATAGCCAGGGGGGACACTCCAACACTCAGACATCATTTACAGATAGCCAGGGTCACACTCCAACACTCAGACATCATATACAGATAGCCAGGGGGGACACTCCAACACTCAGACATCATTTACAGATAGCCAGGGGCACACTCCAACCCTCAGACATCATATACAGATAGCCAGGGGGGACACTCCAACACTCAGACATCATTTACAGATAGCCAGGGGCACACTCCAACACTCAGACATCATATACAGATAGCCAGGGGCACACTCCAACACTCAGACATCATATACAGATAGCCAGGGGCACACTCCAACACTCAGACATCATTTACAGATAGCCAGGGGCACACTCCAACACTCAGACATCATATACAGATAGCCAGGGGCACACTCCAACACTCAGACATCATTTACAGATAGCCAGGGGCACACTCCAACACTCAGACATCATATACAGATAGCCAGGGGCACACTCCAACACTCAGACATCATATACAGATAGCCAGGGGGACACTCCAACACTCAGACATCATATACAGATAGCCAGGGGGCACACTCCAACACTCAGACATCATATACAGATAGCCAGGGGCACACTCCAACACTCAGACATCATATACAGATAGCCAGGGGCACACTCCAACACTCAGACATCATTTACAGATAGCCAGGGGCACACTCCAACACTCAGACATCATATACAGATAGCCAGGGGCACACTCCAACACTCAGACATCATTTACAGATAGCCAGGGGCACACTCCAACACTCAGACATCATATACAGATAGCCAGGGGCACACTCCAACACTCAGACATCATATACAGATAGCCAGGGGGGACACTCCAACCCTCAGACATCATATACAGATAGCCAGGGGCACACTCCAACCCTCAGACATCATATACAGATAGCCAGGGGGCACACTCCAACACTCAGACATCATATACAGATAGCCAGGGGCACACTCCAACACTCAGACATCATTTACAGATAGCCAGGGGGGACACTCCAACACTCAGACATCATATACAGATAGCCAGGGGCACACTCCAACACTCAGACATCATTTACAGATAGCCAGGGGCACACTCCAACACTCAGACATCATATACAGATAGCCAGGGGCACACTCCAACACTCAGACATCATATACAGATAGCCAGGGGGCACACTGCAACACTCAGACATCATTTACAGATAGCCAGGGGCACACTCCAACACTCAGACATCATATACAGATAGCCAGGGGCACACTCCAACACTCAGACATCATATACAGATAGCCAGGGGGCACACTGCAACACTCAGACATCATTTACAGATAGCCAGGGGCACACTCCAACACTCAGACATCATATACAGATAGCCAGGGGCACACTCCAACACTCAGACATCATATACAGATAGCCAGGGGCACACTCCAACCCTCAGACATCATATACAGATAGCCAGGGGGCACACTCCAACACTCAGACATCATATACAGATAGCCAGGGGCACACTCCAACACTCAGACATCATATACAGATAGCCAGGGGCACACTCCAACACTCAGACATCATATACAGATAGCCAGGGGCACACTCCAACACTCAGACATCATTTACAGATAGCCAGGGGGCACACTCCAACACTCAGACATCATATACAGATAGCCAGGGGCACACTCCAACACTCAGACATCATATACAGATAGCCAGGGGCACACTCCAACACTCAGACATCATATACAGATAGCCAGGGGCACACTCCAACACTCAGACATCATATACAGATAGCCAGGGGCACACTCCAACACTCAGACATCATTTACAGATAGCCAGGGGGGACACTCCAACACTCAGACATCATATACAGATAGCCAGGGGCACACTCCAACACTCAGACATCATTTACAGATAGCCAGGGGCACACTCCAACACTCAGACATCATTTACAGATAGCCAGGGGGGACACTCCAACCCTCAGACATCATATACAGATAGCCAGGGGCACACTCCAACACTCAGACATCATATACAGATAGCCAGGGGCACACTCCAACACTCAGACATCATATACAGATAGCCAGGGGCACACTCCAACACTCAGACATCATTTACAGATAGCCAGGGGCACACTCCAACACTCAGACATCATTTACAAACTAAGCATTGGTGTTTAGTGAGTCTGCCAGATCAGAGGCAGTAGGGATGACCAGGGATGTTCTCTTGATAAGTGTGTGAATTGGACCATTTTCCTGTCCTGCTAAGCATTCAATATGTAACAAGTACTGTTGGGTGCCAGGGAAAATGTATGGAGTAAAAAGTACATTATTTTCTTTAGGAATGTACGGAAGTAAAAGTAAAAGTTGTCAAAAATAGAAATAGTAAAGTAAAGTACAGATACCCCAAAAAAATTCAGACCCCTTCACTTTTTCCACATTTTGTTACGTTACAGCCAGTGGTGTAAAGTACTTAAGTAAAAATACTTTAAAGTACTAAGTAGTACTTTATACCACTGGCTGTAACGTAACAAAATGTAGAAAAAGGGGTCTGAATACTTTCCGAATGCACTGCAACCTGATCACATAGGGCTTAGGTCATATCTCATATAACCTGTACACTCACTGTATATCTATACTGAATACCACCCTTCTGAATACCAACCACCCTTCTGGTCATGTCCATAATAACATGATCACGGTACATTTTTGTAATTTAGCAGACGCTCTTATCCAGAGCGACTTACAGGAGCAATTAGGGTTAAGTGCCTTACTCAAGGGCACATTGAAAGATTTTTCACTTAGTCTTCTCTGGGATTCGAAACAGCAACCTTTCATTACTGGCCCAACACTCTTAACCACTAGGCTTCCTGCCACCCCTGCCAGTACCTTTCTAGAGTCCAGTTTCATTGATCTGATGACATCAGAGTGGTTGGAGAGATGAGTCTCTGAGATGATGAATGGTTTAAAACCATCCTTTAAGATCTTATGGATCATTCCGGTGTCTGGGAGGGAAGAAGGATACAGAAAGTTAACACAGTCAGTTACAAGCTGAAGTAGGCCTGTTTGCAGAGGCCTGGCAGTAAGTAAGTAGCCCTCTAAGAGCTTTGGCTTGTGCCATCTGGATGAGACGGAGAAACAGCTTCTCCGCCCAGTACCCTGCCCTGAACTTAGTCACTGTAAATAGCCGGCTACCACCCGGTACTCTACCCTGCACCTTAGAGACTGCTGCCCTATGTACACAGTCATTGAACATTTTAATAATGTTTACACACTGTTTTACCCACTTCCTATGTATATACTGTATTCTAGGCATGGTTCATCCTATTTCCTTTTTATTTTTATTTAATTTTTTTAGCTATGTGTGTATAGTTTATTTTACATTACTGCCCTGGTATTACTGATGATGTAAATACAAGATTATTGTTGTATTTGACACTCTGAATAACATGTGAATGTGATAAAGTTATCATAATGCTGTTATCAACCATATGATAAACAATGGTCACGTTGTAATCTTCATTTCATCGTCCTGTTGTTAGAGGAATGTTCCAGAACAGCAGGAAATGCAAACTTGTTGTGGATTCAAGGTTTAAACAGGCTTCTAAAGTTTGTAATTTCCACTTTAAAACTTCAGGAAAAACTTAACAAAAAATGTATCAACCTCTACCACAAATGTCCATTAATTATAATCCACATTTCCTGTTGCTGCAGGATTATTTTCCTGTTGTGTGAAACTGGCTCAAATTAAGATCCGACATCTGTAGTTCACCAACAACATCAATAGAACCAACAGCATCAAGAGAACCAACAGCATCAAGAGAACCAACAGCACCAAGAGAACCAACAGCATCAAGAGAACCAACAGCATCAAGAGAACCAACAGCATCAAGAGAACCAACAGCATCAAGAGAACCAACAGCACCAAGAGAACCAACAGCATCAAGAGAACCAACAGCATCAAGAGAACCAACAGCATCAAGAGAACCAACAGCATCAAGAGAACCAACAGCATCAAGAGAACCAACAGCATCAAGAGAACCAACAGCATCAAGAGAACCAACAGCATCAAGAGAACCAACAGCACCAAGAGAACCAACAGCATCAAGAGAACCAACAGCATCAAGAGAACCAACAGCATCAAGAGAACAACAGCATCAGAGAACCAACAGCATCAAGAGAACCAACAGCATCAAGAGAACCAACAGCATCAAGAGAACCAACAGCATCAAGAGAACCAACAGCATCAAGAGAACCAACAGCATCAAGAGAACCAACAGCACAAGAGAACCAACAGCATCAAGAGAACCAACAGCATCAAGAGAACAACAGCATCAAGAGAACCAACAGCATCAAGAGAACCAACAGCCATCAAGAGAACCAACAGCATCAAGAGAACCAACAGCATCAAGAGAACCAACAGCACCAAGAGAACCAACAGCATCAAGAGAACCAACAGCATCAAGAGAACCAACAGCATCAAGAGAACCAACAGCATCAAGAGAACCAACAGCATCAAGAGAACCAACAGCACCAAGAGAACCAACAGCATCAAGAGAACCAACAGCATCAAGAGAACCAACAGCATCCAAGAGAACCAACAGCACCAAGAGAACCAACAGCATCAAGAGAACCAACAGCATCAGAGACCAACACATCAAGAACCAACAGCATCAAGAGAACCAACCAGCATCAAGAGAACCAACAGCATCAAGAGAACCAACAGCATCAAGAGAACCAACAGCATCAAGAGAACCAACAGCATCAAGAGAACCAACAGCATCAAGAGAACCAACAGCATCAAGAGAACCAACAGCATCAAGAGAACCAACAGCATCAAGAGAACCAACAGCATCAAGAGAACCAACAGCATCAAGAGAACCAACAGCATCAAGAAACCAACAGCATCAAGAGAACCAACAGCATCAAGAGAACCAACAGCATCAAGAGAACCAACAGCATCAAGAGAACCAATAGCATCAAGAGAACCAACAACTTGAGAGTCTATTTCCAGACTTGGAGCCCAGACATCACATACCAGTTGCTAGCAGCAGGACGTTGTGCATGGTGTGGTCTGCCGCCTGTACTCTGTCCACAGCTATCTTGGTGTAGTAGTAGTTAGATATGTAGAATGGGGTGTAGGGCTGGATGGGATGGATCCAGTCTGTCATCTCTGGGTGATCCTTTATCACGTTCACCGTAGCCAACGGCAGGTCTTTACTGTTAGGAACACACTGAGGAGATAAGACAGGAGAACAGGTCTTTACTGTTAGGGACACACTGAGGAGATAAGACAGGAGAACAGGTCTTTACTGTTAGGGACACACTGAGGAGATAAGACAGGAGAACAGGTCTTTACTGTTAGGGACACACTGAGGAGATAAGACAGGAGAACAGGTCATTACTGTTAGGGACACACTGAGGAGATAAGACAGGAGAACAGGTCTTTACTGTTAGGGACACACTGAGGAGATAAGACAGGAGAACAGGTCTTTACTGTTAGGGACACACTGAGGAGATAAGACAGGAGAACAGGTCTTTACTGTTAGGGACACACTGAGGAGATAAGACAGGAGAACAGGTCTTTACTGTTAGAGACACACTGAGGAGATAAGACAGGAGAACAGGTCTTTACTGTTAGGGACACACTGAGGAGATAAGACAGGAGAACAGGTATTTACTGTTAGGGACACACTGAGGAGATAAGACAGGAGAACAGGTATTTACTGTTAGGGACACACTGAGGAGATAAGACAGGAGAACAGGTCTTTACTGTTAGAGACACACTGAGGAGATAAGACAGGAGAACAGGTCTTTACTGTTAGAGACACACTGAGGAGATAAGACAGGAGAACAGGTCTTTACTGTTAGGGACACACTGAGGAGATAAGACAGGAGAACAGGTCTTTACTGTTAGAGACACACTGAGGAGATAAGACAGGAGAACAGGTCTTTACTGTTAGGGACACACTGAGGAGATAAGACAGGAGAACAGGTCTTTACTGTTAGGGACACACTGAGGAGATAAGACAGGAGAACAGGTCTTTACTGTTAGGGACACACGGAGGAGATAAGACAGGAGAACAGGTCTTTACTGTTAGGGACACACTGAGGAGATAAGACAGGAGAACAGGTCTTTACTGTTAGAGACACACTGAGGAGATAAGACAGGAGAACAGGTCTTTACTGTTAGGGACACACTGAGGAGATAAGACAGGAGAACAGGTCTTTACTGTTAGGGACACACTGAGGAGATAAGACAGGAGAACATGTATTTACTGTTAGGGACACACTGAGGAGATAAGACAGGAGAACAGGTCTTTACTGTTAGGGACACACTGAGGAGATAAGACAGGAGAACAGGTCTTTACTGTTAGAGACACACTGAGGAGATAAGACAGGAGAACAGGTCTTTACTGTTAGGGACACACTGAGGAGATAAGACAGGAGAACAGGTCTTTACTGTTAGGGACACACTGAGGAGATAAGACAGGAGAACAGGTCTTTACTGTTAGAGACACACTGAGGAGATAAGACAGGAGAACAGGTCTTTACTGTTAGAGACACACTGAGGAGATAAGACAGGAGAACAGGTCTTTACTGTTAGGGACACACTGAGGAGATAAGACAGGAGAACATGTATTTACTGTTAGGGACACACTGAGGAGATAAAACAGGAGAACAGGTCTTTATTGTGAGGAAAAAGGGGGATGCTTGCAAGCCGAAGAACACCATCCCAAGCACGGGGTGGCAGCATCATGCTGTGGGGGTGCTTTGCTGCAGGAGGGACTGGTGCACTTCACAAAATAGATGGCATCATGAGGAAGGAAAATTATGTGGATATATTGAAGCAACATATCAAGACATGGGTCTTCCAAATGGACAATGACCCCAAGCATACTTCCAAAGTTGTGGCAAAATGGCTTAAGGACAACAAAGTCAAGGTATTGGAGTGGCCATCATAAAGCCCTGACCTCAATCCTATAGAAAATGTGTGGGCAGAACTGAAAAAGCGTGTGCGAGCAAGGAGGCCTACAAACCTGACTCAGTTACACCAGCTCTGTCAGGAGGAATGGGCCAAAATTCACCCATCTTATTGTGGGAAGCTTGTGGAAGGCTACCCGAAATGTTTGACCCAAGTTAAACTTTTTTACGGCAATGCTACCAAATACTAATTGAGTGTATGTAAACTTCTGACCCACTGGGAATGTGATGAAATAAATAAAAGCTGAAATAAATCATTCTCTCTACTATTATTCTGACATTTCACATTCTTAAAATAAAGTGGTGATCCTAACTGACCTAAGACAGGGAATTTTTACCTTGATTAAATGTATTTGGCTAAGGTGTATGTAAACTTCCGACTTCAACTGTATATAAATATGTCTTATGGCGGTATACAAGAAGAACAGTCACTTCCTTCCTTCCAGTCAACGTGCAGCCTGGTATCATTTAGCAGACGCTCTTATCCAGAGCGACTTACATTATCTTTTTATTTTATTTTTCATACTGGCCCCCCGTGGGAAACGAACCCACAACAGAGCTACATCCCTGCCGGCCATTCCCTCCCCTACCCTGGACAACGCTGGGCCAACTGTGCGCCGCCCCATGGGTCTCCCGGTCACGGCCGGCTACGACAGAGCCTGGATTCGAACCAGGATCTCTAGTGGCACAGCTAGTGGCACAGCTAGCACTGCGATGCAGTGCCTTAGACCACTGCGCCACTCGGGAGCAGTGGTAAAGGGAGTCTGGAAGCACAGTGGCCTTAGTCAGGAGGTAAAACAATACAAGTCCTTCTCAGACAGTTGTTATAGCCTATAAAAAAATGTCTTAGTCACAATACCAACGTAGACAAAACAATAGAACGTCTCATAAAGGAAGAGAATGACGAAGGTAGGGTCAGGGTGGAGGGCAGAGGAAAAACAGATTGAGGAAGTTGTTCAGACAATAAACCACCTAACTGTCACGATCGTCAAAGGGAGTAGACCAAGGCGCAGCGTGATGAACGAACATACTTATTTTATTATACACACCCTGGCTCAAAATATAGAGTCCCCAGAGCCAGGGTGTGACACTAACAGAAACCCGACTACACCCAAAAACCTGCAGGGTCTCAGTAGTGGTAGATGTTACAACACCGAGGGACGGGTCAAACCTGCAGGGTCTCAGTAGTGGTAGATGTTACAACACCGAGGGACGCTTTCTGTTAGCTAAATGTATCTGCTGCTTTAATGCTGTGGTCATAGATACAGCCCAGACAGGCAACTATGAGTCACACAGCAGTGGATGTTATGTGTCATGACTGCACAGCCACAGCCCCAGCCACAGCAACAGCCACAGCCACAGCTATAGAAAGACGTGTGATCTGAACTCTGAGCTGTAAAGGCCCGTGTTTCCATGCTTTAGTCAGCTGTACAGGCCAGGCCAGGGAGGGCCCATCTTTAGGATGTGTCCCAAATGGCACCCTATTCCCTATGTAGTGCACTACTTTAGACCAGGGCCCATAGCCAAATGGCACCCTATTCCCTATCTAGTGCACTACTTTAGACCAGAGCCCATAGCCAAATGGCACCCTATTCCCTATCTAGTGCACTACTTTAGACCAGGGCCCATAGCCAAATGGCACCCTATTCCCTATCTAGTGCACTACTTTAGACCAGAGCCCATAGCCAAATGGCACCCTATTCCCTATGTAGTGCACTACTTTAGACCAGGGCCCATAGCCAAATGGCACCCTATTCCCTATGTAGTGCACTACTTTAGACCAGGGCCCATAGCCAAATGGCACCCTATTCCCTATCTAGTGCACTACTTTAGACCAGAGCCCATAGCCAAATGGCACCCTATTCCCTATGTAGTGCACTACTTTAGACCAGAGCCCATAGCCAAATGGCACCCTATTCCCTATCTAGTGCACTACTTTAGACCAGGGCTTTGGACAAAAGTAGTGCACAACATAGGGAACAGGATGCCATTTGGGAAGCAGGCCATGTTTCCCTTTGTCTCTGGGAATACTGATGTTCCTATAATGCACATGAATAATGAGTCCGGTCCTATGTGCCTCAAACTTTCCTTTGTTTTTCAGTCACTTGTTATTCATGGTCCACATGAGGCCGGCTGAAATATGTCTGATTCTCTAGCTCAGAATAAGAAGGCAACAGACTCCTTTTCTTAACGTGAGTCTCTCGATATGAACAGTAGAGATTTACATGTAGCTGCAGAATAGATGAGGAAAACAGGCAGGATTCCTTACTGTTCCAGGTCTTGGGTTGGGGATGTCTTCATTGTATCCCTTGAAGGGAGAGTTCTGGAATATCCTGTCGATCTCTGCCATGGAGTAGACGCAGACAGCTGTGCCATTCCTATTGGTGGAGAGAACAGGTTAGACTCAGGTTAGATTGTTCATCTTCAGAGGCTTATGTAAATGTTGATCAAGAAGACAGCATTTCTCTACAAATTCCTTCTGAAATGTATACAAACTCCATTGTGGCTACCGAACACTCCCAAAGACTACAGAAACGGCCTGAGACTACAGAAACGGCCTGAGACTACAGAAGCGGCCTGAGACTACAGAAACGGCCTGAGACTACAGAAACGGCCTGAGACTACAGAAACGGCCTGAGACTACCCTGTCCTCCTTACCTCTCCATCTGCATTCCCCTGTCCTCCTTACCTCTCCTTCTGCATTCCCCCTCATAAACATCTCCCATCCCCTTACCTCTCCTTCTGCATTCCCCCTCATAAACATCTCCCATCCCCCTTACCTCTCCTTCTGCATTCCCCCTCATAAACATCTCCTGTCCCTCCTTACCTCTCCTTCTGCATTCCCCCTCATAAACATCTCCCATCCTCCTTACCTCTCCTTCTGCATTCCCCCTCATAAACATCTCCCATCCTCCTTACCTCTCCTTCTGCATTCCCCTTCATAAACATCTCCCATCCCCCTTACCTCTCCTTCTGCATTCCTCCTCATAAACACCTCCCATCCCCCTTACCTCTCCTTCTGCATTCCCCCTCATAAACATCTCCCATCCCCCTTACCTCTCCTTCTGCATTCCCCCTCATAAACATCTCCTGTCCCTCCTTACCTCTCCTTCTGCATTCCCCCTCATAAACATCTCCCATCCTCCTTCCTTCTCCTTCTGCATTCCCCCTCATAAACATCTCCCATCCTCCTTACCTCTCCTTCTGCACTCCCCCTCATAAACATCTCCCATCCTCCTTACCTCTCCTTCTGCATTCCCCCTCATAAACATCTCCCATCCTCCTTACCTCTCCTTCTGCATTCCCCCTCATAAACATCTCCCATCCTCCTTACCTCTCCTTCTGCATTCCCCCTCATAAACATCTCCTGTCCCCCCTTACCTCTCCTTCTGCATTCCCCCTCATAAACATCTCCCATCCTCCTTACCTCTCCTTCTGCATTCCCCCTCATAAACATCTCCCATCCTCCTTACCTCTCCTTCTGCATTCCCCCTCATAAACATCTCCCATCCTCCTTACCTCTCCTTCTGCATTCCCCCTCATAAACATCTCCCTTCCCCCTTACCTCTCCTTCTGTATTCCCCCTCATAAACATCCTGTCCCCCTTCCTTCTCCTTCTGTATTCCCCCTCATAAACATCTCCCATCCTCCTTACCTCTCCTTCTGCATTCCTCCTCATAAACATCTCCTGTCCCTCCTTACCTCTCCTTCTGCATTCCCCCTCATAAACATCTCCTGTCCTCCTTCCTTCTCCTTCTGCATTCCTCCTCATAAACATCTCCCATCCTCCTTCCTTCTCCTTCTGCATTCCCCCTCATAAACATCTCCTGTCCTCCTTCCCTCTCCTTCTGCATTCCCCCTCATAAACATCTCCCATCCTCCTTACCTCTCCTTCTGCATTCCCCCTCATAAACATCTCCTGTCTCCCCTTCCCTCTCCTTCTGCATTCCCCCTCATAAACATCTCCCATCCTCCTTCCCTCTCCTTCTGCATTCCCCCTCATAAACATCTCCCATCCTCCTTACCTCTCCTTCTGCATTCCCCCTCATAAACATCTCCCATCCTCCTTACCTCTCCTTCTGCATTCCCCCTCATAAACATCTCCTGTCCTCCTTACCTCTCCTTCTGCATTCCCCCTCATAAACATCTCCCATCCCCCTTACCTCTCCTTCTGCATTCCTCCTCATAAACATCTCCCATCCCCCTTACCTCTCCTTCTGCATTCCCCCTCATAAACATCTCCTGTCCCTCCTTACCTCTCCTTCTGCATTCCCCCTCATAAACATCTCCTGTCCCCCCTTACCTCTCCTTCTGCATTCCCCCTCATAAACATCTCCTGTCCCCCCTTACCTATTCCATGTCTACTGTATCCATGTGGAAGAGGTAGATTATGAAAATCATAATCAATCCTATATGTTAAAATACTTATAATGAGTGAATAGGGTCACTGACAGTGTTTGATAAAGGTCTCCCACCATGATATTGGGATATGTATGTATTTCAGTCATTTATTCACTTTTATCTGTTGACTGCTAGCTAGTTACTGTACTTTTCTCTGTACACGTCATCATGGAGCTAGCTAGCATGGCTATTCATGTCCCCTTTCATTGTTCATTTTTACTTTGAAGAGTTGGCGTATAAAGGCAGCACAGCATTTGTTTGTGGAAGTGTTTCCTGACATTATTAGAAAATAAAACCTAATTAGACCAACCCAGATCCTCTGGTCATCTGATCAAAACACAATGCAGAGGAAATCTACACCGGTCACATCAGGAAGAACCTTTGTTTAACAGAACACGGTTATCTTCGTGTTCTGTTAAAAGAGCACACAGCTCAGACTTTCGAATGAATCATTTATTGACGTCAGTGGGAGACTGAGGTAAGCGCGCAGATCTCAAGTCAGAATACCACTCCAGTGACTTTGTAGTTTAGAACTAGGAGCATTGGGAGAATGCATATGGACAGTAGCTGCTGGGAGATAAGAGAGACAGCAGAATCCTCTCACCAGCTGCTAGTGAACAGAGCATACACTTGTGAGTCCCTCCATTCCTCCGCGTGGAGCACGAAGATGTCTTGGAGACGGTTGAAGTAGAGCGACTCGTTGGGAATCCCACACACCAGCCGAGCCTTCAGGAATGACGTCCACATGTTCTGGAAGAACCGCTTAGAACCGCCTTCATCCACCTGTAGAATGACATCACCACCATCATCACCATCATCATCGACATTATCATCATCACCACCATCATCACCATCATCCTCACCACCACCATCATCCTCACCACCACCATCATCCTCACCACCACCATCATCCTCACCACCACCATCACCACCACCATCATCACAATCATCCTCACCACCACCATCATCATCATCCTCACCACCACCATCATCCTCACCACCACCATCATCCTCACCACCACCATCATCCTCACCACCACCATCACCACCACCATCATCACAATCATCCTCACCACCACCATCATCATCCTCACCACCACCATCATCATCACCACCATCATCATCATCAACAAACCTCCATACACCTGCACAATGATGACATCATCAGAACAAACCTCCTTCATACACCTGCACAATGATGACATCATCAGAACAAAGAAACTGAAGAAGAACCAAGCCAAACAAAGGTCTTCATTTCAATGCTTCCAGAACTGTGACCCCTTTAATCGGACCAGTAACAAACATGGAACCAAGACAGATGTCTCACAGTGGAAGTGTAGTCTTTGAAAGCCATGTAGTGTTCATCTGCACAGATGGTTCTGTTCCTGGTTCACATCTCTTCACATAACGTACTGTAGCTAGAATGTTAGTGGCCTTCAAGATTCACAGGTGGCATGGTTGGCCTACATTCCAGGATCTACAGTAATGTGTCTTCTCAAACAAACAGCAGAGCTGGGCTGCTAGACAGAGCTGGGCTGCTAGACAGAGCTGGGCTGCTAGACAGAGCTGGGCTGCTAGACAGAGCTGGGCTGGGCTGCTAGACAGAGCTGGGCTGCTAGACAGAGCTGGGCTGCTAGACAGAGCTGGGCTGCTAGACAGAGCTGGGCTGCTAGACAGAGCTGAGCTGGGCTGGGCTGCTAGACAGAGCTGGGCTGCTAGACAGAGCTGGGCTGCTAGACAGAGCTGGGCTGCTAGACAGAGCTGGGCTGCTAGACAGAGCTGGGCTGGGCTGCTAGACAGAGCTGGGCTGCTAGACAGAGCTGGGCTGCTAGACAGAGCTGGGCTGCTAGAAGGCCTTGTACTGCAGTACAATAAACACTAAAGGTGCTGGCACAGCTGGTGGTGGGACTGACTGGAATCTGTGGGATGTGGGGAGTGTTAGTGTGGATATTACCAGGCCTAGTTCAGCACTATCAGCCTATGGTTCATCAACCACTGAACTGTGCTGGATGAAAAACACTTCTAATCCTGGAGTCAGATACATTTTTGCTGTATAACTCCAATGGTTGGTGTTATGCCCAACTATGCAGGCGTTAAGCCAGGATATACACTACATTACCAAAAGTATGTGGACACCTGATTGTCGAATATCTCATTTGTATTAGTATTTATTAAGGATCCCCATTAGTTCCTGCCAAGGCAGCAGCTACTCTTCCTGGGGTTTATTATGGATCCCCATTAGTTCCTGCCAAGGCAGCAGCTACTCTTCCTGGGGTTTATTATGGATCCCCATTAGTTCCTGCCAAGGCAGCAGCTACTCTTCCTGGGGTTTATTATGGATCCCCATTAGTTCCTGCCAAGGCAGCAGCTACTCTTCCTGGGGTTTATTATGGATCCCCATTAGTTCCTGCCAAGGCAGCAGCTACTCTTCCTGGGGTTTATTATGGATCCCCATTAGTTCCTGCCAAGGCAGCAGCTACTCTTCCTGGGGTTTATTATGGATCCCCATTAGTTCCTGCCAAGGCAGCAGCTACTCTTCCTGGGGTTTATTATGGATCCCCATTAGTTCCTGCCAAGGCAGCAGCTACTCTTCCTGGGGTTTATTATGGATCCCCATTAGTTCCTGCCAAGGCAGCAGCTACTCTTCCTGGGGTTTATTATGGATCCCCATTAGTTCCTGCCAAGGCAGCAGCTACTCTTCCTGGGGTTTATTATGGATCCTGTTAAGTTGCGTCAATTCAAATCTGGTATTAGGAACAAAAGAGGTCAATACACGTCTTCTAAAATAGACTAGTATTTTAATTAATGCAAAACACTTCAATGGTAAATATGATGTTCGTATATACGGGTCCACTGAAATACCACGCAGGGCACTCAGAGAACTGATCCATTGTTCTAAGTTCTTCTTCAAATACTCTGACAGAGATAGTTCCCGCTCCCTGCTGGCCAATCAGAGTAGAGACTGAGCGTGGTTTAGACTTACTCAGCCTATCGTTGGCGCACAGGCTGGTCCCAGACCCTTGGCGCTTCACTGTTGCCAGGCATAAGTTGTTATCTGCAGCTGGTCCAGAAAGTCAGCACCCATAGACACAGTTTCCCAGTACTTTCCCACCCTAACTGTACTCTTTGTACCTACGTCCTTGGACGGTTCAACAAAGAGGCAGTGTTTGTGTCTGTGAGAGTCACAAGCCTTATCTCCCCCTTCCCCCTAACGTTCCTCACATGAATCACAGCTTGTTATGTGAAACAATTTATATCAGTACAGTACAAACCTATTATGTTTAATCATTAATGCATTCTTTCTAAGCTAGGCATCACATCTAGTTATAAGAAAATAGACCCTCACAATCCCCATTAGTTCCTGCCAAGGCAGCAGCTACTCTTCCTAGGGTTTATTATGGATCCCCATTAGTTCCTGCCAAGGCAGCAGCTACTCTTCCTGGGGTTTATTATGGATCCCCATTAGTTCCTGCCAAGGCAGCAGCTACTCTTCCTGGGGTTTATTATGGATCCCCATTAGTTCCTGCCAAGGCAGCAGCTACTCTTCCTGGGGTCTAAGGCAGTTATACAAATAATTGTACTGCTTGCATCAGTTACTTGATGTGGAATAGAGTTCCATGTAGTCATGGCTCTATGTAGTACTGTGCACCTCCCATAGTCTGTTCTGGACTTGGGGATTATAAAGAGACCTCTGGTGGCATGTCTTGTGGGGTATGCATGGGTGTCTGAGCTGTGTGCCAGTAGTTCAAACAGACAGCTCGGTGTTTTCAACATGTCAACACCTCTCATAAACACAAGTAGTGATGAAGTCAATCTCTCCTCCACTTTGAGCCAGGAGAGATTGACATGCATATTATCAATGTTAGCTCTCTGTGTACATCCAAGGGCCAGCCGTGCTGCCCTGTTCTGAGCCAATTGCAATTTTCCTAAGTCCCTCTTTGTGGCACCTGACCACACGACTGAACAGTAGTCCAGGTGCGACAAAACTAGGGCCTGTAGGACCTGCCTTGTTGATAGTGCTGTTAAGAAGGCTGAGCAGCGCTTTATTATGGACAGACTTCTCCCCATCTTAGCTACTGTTGTATCAATATGTTTTGACCATGGCAGTTTACAATCCAGGGTTACTCCAATCAGTTTAGTCTCCTCAACTTGCTCAATTTTCACATTATTCATGACAAGATTTAGTTGAGTTTTGGGTTTAGTGAATGATTTGTCCCAAATACAATGCTTTTAGTTGTTGAAATATTTAGGACTAACTTATTCCTTGCCACCCATTCCAAATCTAACTACAGCTCTTTGTTAAGTGTTGCAGTCATTTCAGTCGCTGTGGTAGCTGACGTTGTTACGTTTCAGCCTTATTCTAAAATAGATTAAATTGTTTTTTTCTCTCATCAATCTACACACAATACCCCATAATGACAAAGCAAAAACAGGTTGTTTGCATATTTATTACAAATAAATAAACTTAAATATTACATTGACATAAGTAATCAGACCCTCCCATTCTTCTCTGCAGATCCTCTCAAGCTCTGTCAGGTTGGATGGGGAGCGTTGCTGCACAGCTATTTTCAGGTCTCTCTAGAGATGTTCGATCTGGTTCAAGTCCGGGCTCTGGCTGAGCCACTCAAGGACATTCAGAGACTTGTCCCGAAGCCACTCCTGTGTTGTCTTGGCTGTGTGCTTAGGGTCATTGTCCTGTCGGAAGGTGAACCTTCGCCACAGTCTGAGGTCCTGAGCACTATGGAGCAGGTTGTCATCAACGATCTCTCTGTACTTTGCTCCGTTCATCTTTGCCTCAATCCTGACTAGTGTCCCAGTCCCTGCCACTGAAAAACATCCCCACAGCATGATTCTGCCACCACCACGCTTCACCGTAGGGATGGTGCCAGGTTTCATCCAGACGTGACGCTTGGCATTAAGGCCAAAGAGTTCGATCTTGGTTTCATCAGACCAGAAAACCTTGTTTCTCATGGTCTGAGAGTCTTTAGGTGCCTTTTGGCAAACTCCAAGCGGGCTGTCATGTGCCTTTTACTGAAGAGTGGCTTCCGTCTGGCCACTCTACCATAAAGGCCTGATTGGTGGAGTGCTGCAGAGATGGTTGTCCTTCTGGAAGGTTCTCCCATCTCCACAGAGGAGAGTGACCATCAGAGTGACCTTCGCCCCGATTCCTCAGTTTGGTCGGGCGGTGAGCTCTAGGAAGAGTCTTGGTGGTTCCAAACGTATTCAATTTAAGAATGATGGAGGCCACTGTGTTCTTGTGGACCTTCAATGCTGCAGAAATGTTTTGGTACCCTTCCCCAGATCTGTGCCTCGAAACAATCCTGTCTCGGAGCTCTACGGACAATTCCTTTGACCACATGGCTTGGTTTTGCTCTGACATGCCCTGCCAACTGTGGGACCTTATATAGACAGTTGTGTGCCTTTCCAAATCATGTCCATACAATTGAATTTACCACAGGTGGACTCCAATCAAGTTGTAGAAACATCTCAAGGATGATCAACGGAAACAGGATGCACCTGAACTCAATTTCGAATCTCATTGCAAAGGGCCTGAATACTTATGTAAATAATTTCTCAAAACCTGTTTTCGGTATTGTGTGTAGATTGCTGAGGATTTTTATTTATTTAATCATTTCAGAATAAGGCTGTAACGTAACAAAATGTGGATAAAGTCAAGGGGTCTGAATACTTTCTGAAGGCACTGTACAAGGCCAGTGCCATGTCGTTAGTAAAGATTGAAAAAAGTAAGGGGCCTAGACAGCTGCCCTGGGGAATGCCTGACTCTACCTGGATTATGTTGGAGAGGCTTCCATTAAAGAACACCCTCTGTGTTCTGTTAGACAGGTAACTCTTTATCCACAATATAGCAGGGGGTGTAAAGCCATAACACATAGGTTTTTCCAGCAGCAGACTATGATCGATAATGTCAAAAGCCGCACTGAAGTCTAACAAAACAGCCCCCACAATCTTTTTATCATCGATTTCTCTCAGCCAATCAACAGTAATTTGTGTAAGTGCTGTGCTTGTTGAATGTCCGTCCCTATAATCATGCTGAAAGTCTGTTGTCAATTAGTTCACTGTAAAATAGCATTGTGTCTGGTCAAACACAGAGGGTTGGTAACAGGCTGATTGGTCGGCTATTTCAGCCAGTAAAGGGGGCTTCACTATTCTTAGGCAGTGGAATGACTTTTGCTTCCCTCCAGGCCTGAGGGCACACACTT